AGCATTCCAGCCCCAGACATCGACATAAGCGCAATGATCGCCCAGGTGCGTTGCTACAACAAGGTGCTTTTCATCGACGGAGAATTGAATCTTTCGCTCAATAACTGCCTGTGGTCTGGCTTGGTTGTTGGCGAATTGTCCTTCCTTTGAAGGAGTTGCCGCTTCCGAAGGCGGCTCTTCTCCAAGCAACGGGTATCTATCCAAATGCTCACCCAATGGAACTCTTCGTATAGCTCCTGCAGCGAGCTCGTATACTCGGACCTCTTCCCTGATGGTGAAGGCGACAAATCTGTCGTTACGTGACATGGTCATACATATAGATGGTATGGACTGATTCTGGAGTCCAGACTCAATCGTCAGGTACGCATCAGCGATGGTACCAGTGCTCTCGAATATTAGCAGCTCGAGATGCTAGAGACATGTTAGCAATCCGAAAAAGAGTCAACAGGATCAACAGGCAGAATCGAGACGCGAATACCTCCCCAACAGCGGCGATCACAGCGCAACGTTTGTCTCCCGCTGCAGCATATTGAACCCCAGACACGTCGTATCTGTGACCCTTGCTTCTCTGCCCTTCCACAGTTGAAAGCTCAAACCGCATGACCCAGCTGGTACCAGCTCCCCATAGGAGCAGAGTCCGTCCTGTCGCCGAGAAGCAGGACCGTGGCTGCCGCGGTAACTTCTGCTTGGTGGAGGCTTTTCTGAATAGTGACGCTCCGCTTGGGAAAGGTATTTTCACGCTTTTGAGCTCCCTAGAAAGACTCCTGGTGCCGCCCTGTCTTTCGCGCAATTGATCAGAAGAGGCATGCGATGAAAGTGGACTAATCAGCTCCGTGACAGACGTATTCGAATGCTTTGTCATAAGGTCAGAGAAGCCGAGGGTGCGTGTTATGGGTGAAACAGGGCTTCTGGGGAATTCACTAGGGTCTAAGCTGGTAGTGTGACTGGTCGAGCTTGACTGCGATGTCGTATCTCTGGAAGCAGAGTCTGCTATAGAATACCGTCTATTGCGGTTCGACTCGGATACATCTTGCAATGCAGTTGAGGCCTGTCCCAGCGGTTTGATCATGCGAGCGTGCTGAATTCGGACATCTCCAGGGCATAACGGGCAGGAAATGTCCAGCGTGAGAAACTCTGGGTTCACCTGCAAATGCTGGTGAAAAAGTTAATTGGGAAGGAAATGGTAAACTCGTTTGACTAGTCCACATTCGCATAGCCTGGTGTAAATGAGTCTGAGAAACGTGAAATATCATACCTCATAGAGTGCGTCGCGGCTGGTCAACTGCTCTTCGAGGAGGGCCTTGGGAATCATGTGAACTGCAGGACAGTCAACAGCGTACATAATGCTGGTCCGCTTGTCCCGGCTCTGCGACTGAGCCGCAGGATCCGGTAACGAAGCATTCTGAAGCCACTGTGTCAAATGGCGCTGATAATCCTGGGAGATCGACTCCAGCTCCCCATTGCAGTCCCACATCTGAACTCGGCGATTGATGAGCCATCTGACAAGAAGCCCCAGAGAATCTTCCAGAACGCCTCTAATGCGTAAAAGGTGCGTCCAGCTGTCCCTGATGCGCCGGGTTTGTAGCGGCGGTTGCCCCTCGGCGTTATGGCTCAATATGAGAGTTGCGAGGACCTGGAGAGATGGCGCAGAAAATTCATCGTCGAATGCTGCCATAACAGTCCTCACCAGCTTCTTTCGCGTCTCTTGAGCTTGTGCGAAGGCCTCTTCTACCTTGCTTGCTGCGGCATTAGAATACCCTTGCTCTTGTGAGATACGGCGACGATCAACATGACACTGGATAAGCGCAAACTCGGCGGCACTTATGATATCAAACAGAGTAAAAAACGAGGCTAGATAGTCCGTTTTGTTTGCGACAACACCTGTCAACAGATCTGTCATGAGAGTTTCCGGGGCTATCGAAAAGGGATACTGTCGTCAAATTAGCCTAGAGTGATCAGCGATGAGAATGGCTACACTAACGAGTCCTGATGCGAAAGATGGAAGAGACGTATTATTGGAGACCAGAAGAGTGCTCTGCTTCTTTGACAGCTCTGGAGAACCAATCTGATCTATCGCTCGTGGTATTAGGTCCATGATCAGATAGCTTTCCGCACTGGATAAATCGGGATGGTGCCATGCTGCCCTCATCGCCCGCTCCAGGTTGAATCTCAGATCGGGTGGAATGGCGTCACCACGCAATAGGAGCAGTCTGATTCCTCCAAGTAGAACTTGCGCAATGAAATGACGATGCCGAGCAAAGTCGGTAGGCGCCGGGGTATTAGACGGGAATAAGTCTGATTTGACCCGGATCAGGTACATAAGGGTTGAGAAAACCGCTTCCGAAGGCAAGAGATACGGCAAAAAGTAAGGATGACAATCGTGCACATTGGTCAAGCCCTGCAAATAAGCTCGCTGCAAGTCAAAGATAGCCTTGATCCAAAGCACGGGTCGTAGAAGCGGTTCGATTCGAGAGACATCATCTTGCATGTGGAATACAGCCAGCTCTGCCGCATGTTCGCCGATGATCTCCCTCAGAATGTTGCCTACATCACGACGACCGAGTTGTTCCCACACAGCTGCCACGAGAGGATGTGACATGGAGAAGGCGGGGTTGACAGTCCTGCGGGACTTGAATGCTAAAGGGATTTATCGCATCTATCGCGCTCTCGTCGACAGTTTTCCCACTTGGGACGAGGATAATAACCCTATTGTTGATGGAAAGCCGCAATGAATTTATGGAGTAGGTGGAGATGGAGAAAATGCAATTCTAGCATCTTGCCAGGCGATGGCAGCAAACGGAGACCAATGTCATCCTGTGAAAGGTGCGGAGGGGCGTTTGCTGCAGCGTTTTCTTTCCCGCTGATGCAAGGCTGCGTTGGTTTCTTACACTGCCAATATTGTCTGGCCAGTCAGAATCCCTGCTGTTTGCGCTGAGGAATCTTCTGCATCGCGAATTACAACCAACCAGAAGTATTCGCTTCAATTGCCGGATGATCATCGGCGCCCTTTCCGAATGTGTTGTTACTCTCCAGGTCGCTCAGTTTGACGTGGCACAAATGGCAGGGAAGGACGAAGTTACGAACTTATCCGCCGTCTGCAGAGATGCAGATACGAAACTGGACAATTGCATTATTTACAGGTAAAGGCATTGCTCGTCCGAACTGAAGAACCTTACTCAAGATGGAGCACGCTAGTAGCGTTCATAATCTCTGCCCAGCGAGGTGAAGTAGCTCAGCTTCTTGTCTTTGGAGATGTCTAAGTTCTCTAAGATTAGGCCACGAATTCTTACAGGAACACCCAGGTATCACTAGGAACCCAGAGTGTACTACTGCGATCATCATGATGAATACTGCACTCCCAGCCTGTGGAAAATATATATACCTATACTTCGAAGCCCCTTATACCATGAGCATTATATTAGACGTCCCTCTCGACGATTTGATGAGCTGTGCTGTAGTCTAATACCTACTCAATAGGATCTACTGTCACCCTCCCGGCAACAAAATCAACCCTCTCTACTTGATTCTGTTTATGTGTTACACTCACTAGATACAGCTAAGTTGCGCGACACCATCGTTCACTCTTCTATACCAAGGTTAAGCTTTTTGTTCGAGCATCCAGAGGGAAAATATGCTTTCTTTCTGCTTTAGACAAGGACCTGCATTTCGGCAGGGTCGCTGCATTCCTCTCAGCCTTGATAGGACCTGAATTCTCCGTATTCTCTGACCAGTTAAGTGATTTCTGCTGAGTGAACGCGTACCATGTCGCAAGGACAGATGTTAGGCTTCAGATCATTGACGATGTCGGTGTTTATTCACCTAGTATACTTAATTATATACTAAGCTGTTTTGACGGAGACTATAGCCATGGCCCATATCCAGCCTCATGCCACTACATGAACTTTGCTATCTGTTCCACGTCTCGACGGGTGTAGGGTAATGAGTATGAGGAGATCTTTTGTGTCCACTGCTGATGACCCAGGAATGAACTACCGACTCCGGAAATATCTAGATGGTATGTACCATTACGCCCGTCACTTCTCCATTGCGCCGAAGAGATAATCATATGTCCAGGAGGCTGGTTTCTGGGATACATAAGGTAAGGTACCTAGACTCAGGTATCTACATAGTTGCTGGTGGTACTTTTTAATAGGTGGGCGATCATCTGCCAGATTGAGTCTAGCGGGCAATCGGGTCCACTTGGTCCTGGAACAAGAAAAGCATAATCCACGTAGACCCGCGGCTCAGTCATCCCTTATATGGACGATAGGACTATGACTGGCTGGAACCTGATCATCCCTTGCTTCCCAACTTCCCAATTTGGTAATCATAGAAGCTCCATAGGGATGAGAATGAGAAGCTTATGCCGCTACCCGGCATGGATGCCCTGAGCTTAATGATGTCAAGTGGCAGGCCGTCAAACTACCGAGCCCTGACGATGGCGTTCTCACCACCAGGCTCCGGCCTAAAAGCTTTCGACTCTCATGTCACTGGTAATCGGAGTCTCTGAACAAAGTAATCAGTCATCGCACCCCGCTAAGTCACAGCCCTGAGCAGGGTCTTCTCCAGGACAGGCGCAGACTATGACAATCGCACTTTTGCAGTCATTCTGCTCCTGCAAGTACTGGCCAACAAGAAGTCGCATTCCTTGCCTTGGTGACGTGATGGCTGGACGTTGGCATGCGCCTTTTCCCTTGGCGCCCCTAAAATGAGCGATTGGCCGTAGGCAGACATCAAGTCGTACACTACAAGTAGGTACTGTGCACACAAATGAGTTTGCGCCTCGCGTGTACATGTACCGGGTGCCACGGTTCCAGGACGACCCTTATATTGGTCACTTGCAGCCATTGTTTATTTGGTAATCCGCAGGAGACGCGGATACTGGCTTCCCCACATCTTATAGGTGACAGATAACACAAGGGTCGCTGTCTGCCTATTGCCGTGTGTCTACATCGCTATATTGCCGCCTAGATACGCGATTTCAGTGCTGTGTAGCTCACATGGCTCCATTCGAATTCCTGATAGGGATCATATTACTCTGTATTTGCTGCAGTGATGCTGGCGCAGCTTCAGAGTCCGGATACGCGGTCGTTGAGCAGCTCAGAAATGTGCCCGACGGCTGGATAAAACGCGATGCAGCACCGCCGTCTGAATTGGTCAGATTTCGGCTGGCTATGAACCAGGAAAGAGCCGCTGAATTGGAGCGAAGGGTCATTGACATGTCAACGCCGGGTCACTCGAGCTATGGACAACATATGAAGCGTGATGATGTCAGGGAATTCCTGCGTCCTTCCGAGGAGGCCTCAGACAAAGTCCTTTCCTGGCTGAAATCAGAGAAAGTTCCTGCTGGCTCGACCGAAAATCATGGCAACTGGGTCACTTTCACTATCCCGGTCTCACAGGCGGAACGTATGCTAAGAACGCGCTTCTACGCTTTCCAGCACGCGGAGACAGATACGACGCAAGTCAGAACGCTTGAGTATTCCGTTCCCGATGATATCCGCCGTTATATTCAGATGATCCAACCAACGACCCGGTTTGGACGACCTGTCTGGCAAGAACGGCAACCACTTTTCCAGGGAACTGCTGCTAGCGAGGAAGAGCTGGCGGCGAATTGCTCCGCAACCATAACGCCGAACTGTCTTCGCGAATTGTACGGGATTTACGATACCACTGCCAAACCCGACCCCCGCAACAGATTGGGAGTTTCCGGATTCCTAGATCAGTACGCACGCTATGAAGACTTTGAGAATTTCATGAGCTTGTATGCACCCAATAGGTCAGACTTCAACTTCACCGTGGTCTCGATAAATGGCGGTCTCAATCTGCAGAACTCGTCGATAAGCAGTTCTGAAGCCAGCCTAGACGTCCAATACGCCTACTCTTTGGCGTATAAAACGCTTGGAACCTACTATACAACGGGAGGCCGAGGACCAGTCGTGTCTGAGGAAGGTCAGCCGGATACGAACGTGTCGACCAATGAGCCTTACTTGGATCAACTTCATTACCTTCTTGATCTTCCAGATGAAGAACTTCCCGCCGTTCTCTCAACCTCGTACGGCGAAGATGAGCAAAGCGTCCCTGAATCATACTCAAATGCAACTTGCAATCTCTTCGCGCAACTCGGCGCACGCGGTGTGTCTGTCGTCTTCAGTAGCGGTGATTCGGGCGTCGGTTCAACATGCACAACAAACGATGGAACTAGCAGAACCCGATTCCTGCCTGTCTTCCCAGCGTCCTGTCCATTTGTTACCGCTGTTGGCGGTACCTACGGTGTCCAACCCGAGAAAGCAATCAGCTTCTCTAGCGGAGGCTTCTCAGATCGCTTTCCACGTCCGCCGTACCAGGATTCGAGCGTTCAGGGCTACCTAGAGCAGCTCGGAAGCAGATGGAACGGTTTATACAACCCGAGCGGGAGAGGCTTCCCAGACGTTGCCGCTCAGGCCAGTAACTTTGTCATCATTGATCACGGGGAAACGTTGAAAATAGGCGGCACAAGGTCCGTTGTTAAAATGAATCTCTTAGAATCTTCGCGCTAACTGTTGTTGTAGTGCATCTGCGCCTGTATTTGCAGCCATCGTCTCGCGATTAAATGCTGCCCGACTTGAGAATGGTCTGCCAAAACTAGGATTCTTAAATCCATGGCTCTATTCCCTCAACCAGACAGGGTTCACAGATATTGTTGATGGTGGCTCATCGGGTTGCTATGTTGGCGCCAGCAACGAACAACTGGTTCCCAATGCAAGCTGGAACGCAACGCGGGGGTGGGATCCTGTTACCGGGCTTGGAACGCCCTTTTATAATACTCTGGTAAAACTAGCCACGAGCGTTTAAAGTACCTTATGAGGTTAAGAAGGAGAAAAGAAGGGGTAATCTAATGCTTTAATAAGTTGGTATACTATTTCTCTACACCCCAGAGCGCTTGTAAGCACCTTAAGGACCTCCCCTGCCTAGCAATCCAGGCTGCGTAGGGCACTCAGGCAATATTTGGAGAAAGCAAATACACAGTCACAATAGTACCAAAAATGATAACTGGTATTGCGGACTAGCAGTAGTGGTTTACCGTAGGCACGTCGAAGTTGAACGAAGATGCTCTCCAAACAGCTAACTGTCCGGAAAAGATACGTCAGATCACGTGACATTACTGACCGCCCGCCAAGACAGTACTGTCGCCAGAGAAGCTCTTTGGAGCTGACAGCAACATCAACCAACCTCCGCCTACACCGTCACACTGCTTCTATAGACTTTCTTTCTCTTTCCACCAGCCTCTGAACGTTCTCATATAGATCATTCACACCCCCGACAAGAGAATATCAAGCAGACGTCACTATCATGGCAGACGGCGCCGAGCTCCGGTCCCTCGTTTCAGAGCTCCGTAATGCTCTCAACCGCAAGCAGCTCGATGCTGCCAACAACCTCCTCAGCCGAGCAAAGCGGACTCTTCTCCTTCAGAATGCGCTGATTCCCACACCTTCTACACCCTCTGAGCTCATCCCGCTTGCTCGTGAAGTTCTGGAACTCGGAGCCCTTGCCTCCATTCGACAGACCGACGCACAAGGCTTCACCAGATATTACCAGCAGCTGCAGCCCTTTTACGACCTTGAGAAGGATAGCACGGGCTCAGCTAATGTGGATACTAGGTCTAGCCAGCGGAGCAAGATTACAGGTCTGTATCTGATGCTTTTGCTGAGCATGGGTGATAGCACTAGTTTCCACACTGTGTTGGAAGGCTTGGTTGAGGAGGCGAGTCTACAGGGCAAGCGCGTGGAGGATGATCTGTACATCAAATACCCCGTTGACCTGGAGCGGAGCTTGATGGAGGGAAGTTATGACAAGGTGTGGAGAGAGACCAATTCAGAGAGAGTGCCTTCGGAGGACTTTGCTCTGTTTTCCAACGTGAGTTTATCCTTCTTCCCTTGTTCTTTTGGTCTTCTGTTGAACAATTTTTGACGATTTTGTCTCAATAGGTCCTTGTTGGAACCATTCGAAGTGAAATCGCGGACTGCTCCGAGAAAGCATATCCTTCGCTTCCCATTTCTAACGCCAAGAATCTTTTGTTCCTCGACTCCGAGGGAGCTGTTATTGAGTTCGCTCAGCAGCGAGGGTGGGTACTCCGTGATGGACGGATATACTTCCCAGTGGAGCCCGAGGCCGCGGCTCGGTCTGAGAAGGACATCCTGGTAGCAAGCAGCACCGTCATCGAGAACACGATAGGCTACGCTCGCGAGTTGGAGACGATTGTCTAGTTGATCAACAGATCTATGCGACGACTTCCATTTGCCTTTTTTGAGTGTTTTCCGGGTTCCAGGTGGGGTTGTATTTGTATACCTCTCGCTTTGCATCATGAATCTTGTTCGAGCGTTATCTTCTCACGACAAATAAATTCCATTATTTTACCCCTCTGACTGAATTGGAGGTTGTTCCGTCTGTAGATCTACTCTCCATATACAGACTCTTCGGTCGTAGAAACTGCTGGAAACCAAAACCAGCTCCGATATATCCTTGCCTTCCAAGTCGTATCCTCCCTCCGCTTTCCACACGTCAGATGCATAATTCATGCTCTCATGCTCCGTAAACTGGGCCAGGACATCGATGCTCCATTCTGACCCTGAGTCATCTGCCCCCTTAGGTTTCCACGTCACCGCCACCACCCTTGTCCCAGCATGCATACAGCTAGCTAAAATCAGAAACCTCCACCCTTCACCCTCCGTTTCCGAGGCAGGCCTTTGCTCCGTCTTCAACAGCTGTAGTCGCCAGACACCGCCCCCGAGACATTCTTCAGCGAGCACCTGGCCCCTACGCGTGGCATGGTAGACACGCAGGTACTCATCATAGCTACCCGTAACCAGCAAGGGCGCGCCTTCACGAAGCGGAAGGGGCAGAGGGAGGATACTCGTTACTCCCGCCGTATGGTGACGGGCACGGTCGTCGTAGTCGAGGACAAGCGGCGCCAAAGGCTCTTCTCCTTCTCTTGCTTGCGCACTGAATTGGCGTGTATGCAGCGAGCCGAAGTCATTTCCTGTGAAGAGGTGGGGAATACTGCGTTCCTCAGTTGATGCGGGATCGCGGAGTGATGCCAGAGCCACGAACCATACTTCTATGGGCTGGGTGGCTTCGAATGTTCCCTGTTCGATAATGTTGGATTGCTCTGTTAGCGCTGCCTCTGCCTTATCGGCGGAGACGGTGCCGTAGACGCTTGTCCGGCCGTCGGAGAATGTGACGGCGAACCCGTCTTGCTCGCTCCTCGGAAACCAGTTCTGAGGGGCCCAGGCTAAGAACAAAGCCGGGATTGAGGGATCCTCGTGGACGGGTAAGGCCCATAGAAGGCTGATGGTGGGTTTGGGGTCTGTTGAAACTTTGAACAGGGCCACAGATGCAGCACTTGTGGCAATAGCAAGGATGCTAGGATCTCTCGGATGGAAATGAAGATCAAAGACGGCATATGGCAGTGATAGTCGCTGGATGAGAGAGCTGAGTGTTGTATAGCCTCTCGGTCAGCCTGGGACTTGGGAGGAAGATGATGCAGGTCTCACAGTTCATGATTCAGCGGATTGAGGTTCCATAATTGGAGGCTTCCAGTCTTCGTCTGCTGCACGTTTCCATCGCTGTCTTTGTTCTCGGATAGCAGATAGGTGCCTATGATAAAGTTGTTTGGTGCTGCAGGGCAAAATTGAAGACAGCTTGGCGGTTGGTCGAGGAAGATGGTCGTTGCAGACGCGGGGTGCTGAGGAATTGATATCATCCTCGTGAGTTATTATATCGTTCACTCTACTTCAATTTTTGCCTCTTCAGGATACCCCTACAGTTTTTTCCAGGTTTTCTCCCAGAAATGGTGTTTAGAGACCGACAATGAGGGCAAAGTGTGGGCGGTGAAAATATAAGAATCTTGATAGCATACTGCCTTGTTTGTCTCTATCTAATCCCACTTTTTAGAACACAGCTTTGAATTTGGTCCCATTTCTCCTAACGAGGAAACTATACAGCTTCGGCCATAACGGATAAGAGGTGATCACCTATCGCAATGGATGATATCCATACTTTTTGGTGGACTTACCCCGCACTGCAGCCTGTTTTCACATCCTCTGTTATTATTAATACAGGGGTCCTTCTGCCTTAGAAATCCGCGGGTATATATCATCATAATGTAGAGTCTCAGATGAAGCATAACTACCTTCCCTACATCAACAACTATTACAATGTCTGTCCCATTCAGCAAGTTTCCTTCAACAGCAACCATTGTCCCCACTCCCTTTCGAGTGGCCTTTCCAGATGAACAGATAACCGAGTTGAAGACCCTGGTGAAGCTCGCTAAGATAGGTCCACGTACACTTGAAAACCAGCAACAGGACCGTCGATATGGCGTCACGTCCGACTGGATGACGACCATGCGAGAGAAATGGTCGAACGACTACAACTGGAGAGCCACTGAGGCCCGTATCAATAGCTTCCCTCAGTTCACAACCAAGATCGAGGACATATCGCTGCACTTCGCAGCTTTGTTCTCGGAGAAGGAAGACGCAGTTCCTGTGATATTACTTCATGGATGGCCTGGTAATGGTTGCTTGCCCTCGCTTATTTCGTCCGTGCTTACAGAAAAACTATAGGTAGCTTTCTGGAGTTTCTCCCCATGCTTCAACTGTTCAAGGAGGAATACGATCCGACCACATTGCCGTATCACTTGATTGTGCCTTCGCTTCCGGGTTATGGGTTCTCGTCTGGCCCACCCTTGGACAGGGAGTATAAGAGCCATGACGTGGCACGATTGATGGACCAGTTGATGAAAGGGCTCGGTTTCGGAGGCGGCTATATCGCCCAGGGAGGAGACATCGGAAGTCGCATCTCCAGAGTGCTGGCAGTGGATTTCGAAAGCTGTAAAGGTCAATTCAAAGTTCATGCCTTCAATTGTAATTCATACTGACGTTGCCGTAGCTGCCCACCGTGAGTTTATTTCTTCTGTGCCTCCCTGGAGGTGGTGTTAACAAGCAATAGTGAACTTCACTACTGTCCCACGCCCAGAGGGCTGTTCAGATGACAGCCTGTCTGCCTCTGAAAAACGCGGAGTAGAGAGGCTGAATACTTTCTTGACGACTGGGACAGCATATGCAATCGAACAAGGCACTAGACCAAGCACCATAGGTCTTGTACTGTCTACCAACCCCATGGCTCTGCTGGCCTGGTAAGCATGATGATGCTCAAAAGCGCAAAACATCCCATTAACCGCGTGACTAGGGTTGGAGAGAAATTCCTTGATTGGGTGGATGATCCTCTTCCTTCAGAGACCATCCTAGATTTTGTCTCTCTGTACTGGTTTACCGAGACATATCCCCGGGCCATCTACTTTTACCGCGAGGTTTGGCGACCCGATCTAATGGAGTAGGAGGGATGCTGATACAGAGGGGAAACAGGACTTCCCTCATAGAAAATTCACCTCTGAACTGAGTACACGATGGTTCATCCAGAAACCATTTGGTTTCTCCTATTTTCCCATGGAACTTTATCCGGCTCCTAAATCCTGGGTGGCCACAACAGGAAATTTGATATTCTTCAAGGATCACCAGAAGGTATGAACCTTGCGCCTCCATTCAAATTCCTCTGATCCGCTAACCCTCTCATTCAGGGCGGCCATTTTGCGGCGCTTGAGCGACCCCAGGACCTGAAAGCGGACTTGACGGGATTCATTGAGCAGATTTGGCCAAGCGTTGCGGCGGCGAAGTGATAGCCAGAGCTCCATTCATGTTGAGAACAGAAGTAAGCCTCAAGCGATTTGCTTCAATTGACGTTAATGAGGAAGCCGCAGCATGTTGCCCCCTGTTCCACAGTATAGAGCTTCAGAGAACACATAGCATCCTGTGAGCTAATCAGGTAGGCAGACATAGTAAATAGAGCCACTGCTTCCAACATGGTGCCGCTTAGTCTCGTATGCCCTGGCTGAGAGTGAAAGAAGAACACAGACAAAGGCAGGTGACCAAGCCCACCAAGTCATCTCGTCTTTCAAGAGCATAATAATGGGATGCCTGGTTATCGATAAATCCATTGACATTTTGATGGCCACTCTTGTGAATGCCAACTTCGCGTCTGATCTCGATGTTGGGATCTTGCCTGCCTCTCAAGTCCTCTGATATTGGCAGGGAGTAGAATGTGCCATTCGATACCACGATGTGCCACTCTTAGATTGACGAAGTGATAGAAGTAAAGCGTCATTGCGTTCATCATCTTCCTGACTTCGAGCCGCTCATTCGTTGTGCTACCAAGCTGAAAACGGCGACCGAGGAGATAAAGAGGACGAGGTTGTAGAACTGCAATTATTTTCAGCATAGAATCTTGCACTAAATACGGTAGAAAAGAACATACAGCTGTCCTTGAGTACTCATTTTCTTCAGCCTCTGTTCTTGCCTCGACGAACAGGCGTCGCAGATTAGGGAGGTTGGCCTAGCAATGAAAATGAATAATTGACATCGATCATGACAAGCCGGTACCTACCATGACATCAAATCCTAACTCAACAAATGTGCTGGTTATAACAGGGTCAGTAAATCAGAGAATCATCAAAGATTAGGGACCTGAAGTGGACCAGACGGAGTTGGATGGATTGGTGGTGGCTCCGGTTTGGGGAAATCATGAGCCGCGTTTTGTGGACACTTTTAGGCCTGAGACAATTGACCTAGACCAGACCAGACCATTTGCTTTCCTTAACCTCACCAGCACCCTTGAGGGAGACGGATTGCTCCATACTTCTGCCCTTTTCTATTTCTCTATCAACCCGAGACCAATTTGGGAATTCGGGATCCCGGTCTCATTTCGAGTGTTGCATCGTCACGTCCCCTCGAGTCGAACTGGTCCCTGAAGCTTCGCCGCCGAATTCCCCGCAGTGGTCCGCAACGAAGCACTTCTCACCTACGATAAAAATATTGTTTGCGGAGGCGCGACCTAGTCGTCGCTGAAGCTTTCGTGCCACAAAATGGCGATGAGCAGGATCCGCGGCGCTTTTGCAGTGCCTAGAAAAGGAGAAACGTTTGAATTGCGAGCTGGTCTTGTGTACGGAGTTCCACCACCCTACGTAAGTTTCATTGAGCGGACTGTGTCGCTGACCGGAATGATAGATCTCAGTATGCGTACGAACGGTATGTGCAATGCTTTTTTCTCTCAAAGCTCTTTTGACCATATACTACTTGCGCCGCTGATTGAGAGTGCATATTGACAATGTTCCAGGAAGGAAGCCATTCAGAAGACCATCATGGCCATGACACTGGGAAAGGATGTCTCTGCTCTTTTCCCTGATGTCCTCAAGAATATTGCGACGAGTGATCTTGAACAGAAGAAGCTTGTATATCTATATCTCATGTGAGTGTTCCTGATTCTGCTCGGTGGCCTCTCCGTTCGCTGATCCACCATGCTTCAAAAAAGGAATTACGCCAAATCTCATCCGGATCTTTGCATTCTCGCCGTGAATACATTTGTACAAGACTCCGAAGACCCCAACCCCTTGATTAGAGCACTGGCTATCAGAACAATGGGATGTATTCGGGTGGATAAAATGGTCGACTACATGGAGGAACCACTCCGCAAGACACTCCGGGACGAATCACCCTATGTCCGAAAGACTGCCGCGATCTGTGTGGCGAAGCTATTCGACTTGAATCCTTCATTGTGTTTGGAGAATGGTTTCCTTGAGATGCTGCAGGAAATGATCGGCGATCCAAATCCTATGGTGGTTGCGAACTCGGTGACCGCGCTTTCAGAGATCCATCATGCCGCTCCCGAGGCACGAGCCCTCCAAGTGACATCTAACATACTGCGCAAGTTGCTAATGGCGTTGAATGAATGTACGGAGTGGGGTCGGGTCACAATCCTGACGACTCTGGCAGAATACAAAACCAGTGATGTGACAGAATCAGAGCACATCTGCGAGCGAGTCGCGCCACAATTTCAACATGCCAATCCAAGTGTAGTCCTGGCAGCGGTCAAGGTCGTTTTCCTGCACATGAAGAACATCAAGCTGGAGTTGTCGAGCAACTACTTGAAGAAGATGGCGCCCCCTCTAGGTATTCCTCTTGAGCCGACTTGTTATCCCGAAGGCATGGCGCGCTGATATCTGTATAGTGACTCTGGTGTCCTCCGCTCCGGAGGTACAATATGTCGCATTGCGAAACATCGATCTGTTGCTGCAGAAGCAGCCCGATATTCTGAATAAAGAGTTGCGGGTTTTCTTCTGCAAGTACAATGACCCTCCTTATGTCAAGTTCCAGAAACTGGAAATTATGGTCCGCATAGCCAACGACCGCAACGTCGATCAGCTCCTCGCAGAGCTGCGGGAGTACGCATTGGAAGTCGACATGGATTTCGTGCGACGCGCCGTGAGAGCCATAGGCCAGGTTGCCATCAAGATCGAGAGTTCATGCGAGAAGTGTGTAAACACATTATTGGATTTGATCAATACCAAAGTGAACTACGTCGTACAGGAGGCTATTGTTGTCATCAAAGACATTTTCCGAAAATACCCTGGGTACGAAGGTATCATCCCTACTCTCTGCAAATGCATTGACGAGTTGGATGAACCAAATGCCCGTGCCGCGCTCATCTGGATCGTGGGCGAATATGCAGAGAAGATCAGCAATGCTGGCGACATTCTGGCCGGGTTTGTGGAAGGGTTCAATGAGGAATTCTCACAGGTCTGGTTGCTGCGCTCGACTTGTAGATGCCAAAGCTAATTCTTTAATCAGACCCAGCTTCAGATTCTTACTGCCGTCGTGAAGCTATTCTTGAAGCGGCCTGAGAAGGCTCAAGGACTGGTTCAGAAAGTTCTCCAGGCGGCAACAGTTGAGAACGATAATCCCGATGTTCGTGACCGAGCCTACGTTTACTGGCGTCTTCTCTCCAATACAAGCGATCCCAATGCTACCAAAAACATTGTTCTTTCCCAGAAGCCTCCTATCGTTACGACGATCCACTCTCTACCCCCCGCTCTTCTTGAACAGCTGATCGGTGAACTCTCTACTCTTGCATCCGTCTACCACAAACCACCAGAGCAATTTGTCGGTCAGGGCAGATTTGGCGCAGATGCCGTGCAACGCGCTGCTATTGAGTTCGTTACCTTTGCTTCTCAATCCATTCTTGAGCAGTCAGCTAATATGATGGAACAGGGAACAAATCCAAAACGCCCGTGAAAACCCCTTGGCTGCAGCCGCTGCGGCTGCTGCAGTCACGGGTGCTACACCCCCGCCACAAGCTCAGGGCAACATCGAGAACCTCCTGGATATCGATTTCGATGGTGCAGCTCCCGCTTCGACTCAGAAAGAACCTGCTAGTGGAATGTCTGGTCTCGAGGGTCTTGCTGGTACTCCCGTTCGAGTAGAGTCTCCTGCTGCTGGCGCACCCGCTCCTGCCCCAAGCAACAACCTGGATGACCTCCTCGGTGTGTTCGGCGATAGTGGCAGTGCCGCCGCATCAGCCAGCAACGCTGTTCCCAACGGCGGTGGTGCCGCTGCGGATCTCATGAACGGCTTCTCTGGCCTTGATCTCTCCGCCAACACCACATCGCCACCCCCGGGGGCCAGTCAGCAAAAAAAGACTAATGAGGATATTCTGTCACTATTCTAAAGCGGGGAAGCTCTGGTTATTTGATGATTCGGCGTGGCCTCCTCAAGGTCAGGAGTAGTATTTACAGTTGTTGATATAGATCCCATACCATTGTCCGATTCGCACCGAGCTTGATAATAATTGACCTACATAGTTAACCGAATTTATTTTTCTGTGTTCTCTCGCTCATTCATTTGATTGACTATGCTTGGATCCAGCCCGTACTATCTTGTAGTATCGTGATGCCAAGATATCAGCGCCAACCATTAATACACGTGATTTCGGTGTGCCGTTGTCGGAGACGCTAAACCCCAAACAGGCATGGTCCTCCCCGCGGCGTTTTGAAGATAGTTCAGTTCTGAGGTGGGATGAATCATCGCCAGACTCGCCTTCATTCATTCTTTTTACAATTGGGTCTCTGACTGCAGTTGTCTTGTACACGGAGCCGTCATCCCAATTGAGACAGCTGGTATACTCACGACGTCAAATTTTACGTGCTAGCCATGTCTCATACGCTTTCGCAAAAATATCTCAGCACGCGGGGTGCCTCCTACGGGGTCAGTCGAGAATAATTTAACCTCATCCCAAAAAGATATTCTGCTGACCCTTCTGGCTGTATAGCTGTCCTTCGAAGATGTCGTCCTTAAGGGATTGGCGTCCGATGGTGGCCTGTTCATCCCCGAAGAGATTCCCTCGCTTCCTGCGGGATGGGAGACGGAGTGGCGGGACCTGAGTTTCGAAGACCTGGCATATCGTATCATGTCGTTGTACATCTCACCAAGCGAAATCCCCTCGGAAGACCTCAAAGATATCATTAGACGCTCATACGCTACGTTCCGGCACCCTGAGCGGACCCCTCTGGTTGAATTGGACGGAAAACGCAACCTCTATTTGCTCGAATTGTTCCACGGACCAACATTCGCCTTCAAGGATGTCGCGCTACAGTTCCTCGGAAACCTCTTTGAATATTTCTTGGTGCGCAAGAATGAGGGCAAGGAGGGCAAGGACAGACACCACTTGACCGTTATTGGTGCCACCAGTGGAGATACTGGATCTGCAGCCATCTATGGCCTCCGGGGCAAGAAGGATGTCTCCATCTTCATCCTCTTCCCCACTGGACGGGTGTCGCCTATCCAGCAGGCTCAGATGACGACAGTCTTGGATGCCAACGTACACAACCTGACAGTCGAGGGCTCTTTCGATGATTGCCAGGACATTGTCAAGGCCTTGTTCGCCGACCCTGATCTCAACTCAACCCACAACATTGCCGCTGTCAACTCCATCAACTGGGCTCGTATTCTGGCTCAGATCACATACTACTTCTACTCCTACTTCTCTCTTACCAAGACCCCTGGCTTCTCCAAAGACACGAAGATGCGCTTCGTTGTTCCTTCAGGAAATTTCGGTGACATCCTCGCCGGATGGTTCGCTAAGCGCATGGGCCTTCCCGCAGAGAAGCTCGTCATCGCAACGAATGAGAACGACATCCTGGACCGCTTCTTCCGTAGTGGTGGCCAGTACACCAAGAACACCGCACAGGCCGACGGCGTTAAGGAGACTCACAGCCCCGCTATGGACATCCTCGTCAGCAGCAACTTCGAGCGTCTCCTTTGGTTCCTTGCCTTCCAGGCGGATGGCGCCAGCTCTGCAGACGAAAGACGCAAGCACGCCTGCGAGAGCGTCAGCAATTGGCTCAATCAGCTCAAGACACAGGGTGGCTTCACCGTACCCCAGGCCGTCCTCGAGGGCGCCAAGGCCGAGTTCGAGAGTGAGCGGGTGAGCAACGACGAGACCATTGATCAGATCAAGTCCACCTACACCTCTTCCTTCCCCTCCAACCTCGGCCCCGGCAGCGCCAAGAGCTCCAAGACTGGCGGCTACATTCTCGACCCTCACTCTGCCGTCGGTGTGCGGGCAGCTCTCCGTTCCATCGAGCGTAATCCTGGGGTGAAGCATGTCTCCCTCTCCACAGCCCACCCGGCCAAGTTCGCAAGCGCTGTCGACCTGGCCCTGCGCGCCGAAGACGGCTATGACTTCACCGAGGTTCTTCCCCAGGAATTCATTGGGCTCGAGCAGCGCGAAAGCAGAGTCACTCCTATCCGCGCCGGCGCCGGATGGGTGGGTGTCCGAGAAGTGGTCAAGGCCGAAGTCGAGCAGGAGCTCCAGGGCTTGAGGTAGTGAACTATTTTGACAAAAAACTTTTTTTGTTCTCTTACAAATGTAATTAACCTCTATATATCCTCTATTTCACTCCTTTCAGTCTCTGTTAAAGGTTTAGATTGATGAAATGGAGGCGTCTGCGTCATTTCTTTGGAACCCTGTTTTAATCCATTTTTGCATAGAGCAAATCTGACCATAGAATCAATGTCAAATACATGGCTCTTGGATTAACTTTTCTACCGGCTTGAACATTTTTAGTTATGCATTCGAGGACCGTTCATCCGTGTCTATGTGAGCGCAAGTTGCTGTTCTCGAATATGGTTACACACGTCTACGAAAATTAAACCGGATGTAGGAGACCTTACCGACATTCTGATGGCCCGAACATAATTCCGATGTGGTAGGAACCGGCTGACTAGATAGGCAGGAATTCATCATTTACACTCAAAGAGAGTCATTAGAAAGACAGTAGGATGTGATTGACTCTATTAGAGCATGCAATGTATTTGCTACGCCCGCATTATATTACTATTACTTCGTTATTTGACAAACAATAACTCCGTCCATAAACCATGAGCGAAGGAACAACTTTTTCAAAGTGGATGGCCGAAATTTGGATGTCAAATGACAAACAGAGACCAAGTCAAAACCGTGCGAGAAGAGAAAATCCAGGACTATCGAAAATATACCTTTCCCGCCCGTATGACAACCAGTCACCTTGAATACGGAAGGCCATAGATGAATGCTTTAAAGCATGAGCATGATACCCACGACACCAGCCAGGAGACCGGCGGCGGGCTCGAACTGGGAAGCAGAGCCTCTGAAAGGAGTCTGGGTTGGCGGCACCGGTGAGACAGGAGTAGGCTGGCCTGGAGCGGGGGGCTGAGCAGGAACAGAAGGCTGAGCAGGAACAGAGGGCTGAGCAGGAACAGA